AACTATAAAGCAGGTGGGATAGGGAGAGTGGGAGGGAGACGCAAGAGGGAGGAGATATGGGAACATATGTATATGTATAACTGATTCACTTTGTTATAAAGCAGAAACTAACACACCATTGTAAAGCAATTATACTCCAATAAAGATGTAAAAACAAAAACAAAACTATAAAGCAATAAAAACATTGTGCATTCTGATAAATCACGGTTCTATTGGAATTAACTGAAAAAGTAGTTAGGAACTTGACATCTAAAAGACACATGTAAAAGTAATTAGGAATTTATACTAAAAATATATAGTATTAATATTATGAAATATTGAATTCAGAATTTAGTAGCTGCATGTGGATTCTAATTATATCAAAACATTTGTTGCCTGGAATCCTTTCCTCAGGAAATAAATCATTGTAGAGCACAAAACTTTTTAAAATACCTGAAGGATTGCAGTCTGCGGTGCTTTTTGTATTTAGTCTACTTTAATTTAAAAAAAATTTTAATTAATTTATTTTTGGCTGCATTGGGTCTTTGTTGCTGCGCACAGGTTTTCTCTAGTCGCGGCGAGTGGGGGCTATTCCTCGTTGTGGTGTGCGGGGCTTCTCATTGTGGTGGCTTCTCTTGTTGCAGAGCACGGGCTCTAGGCACGTGGGCTCTAGAGCGCAGGCTCAGCAGTTGTGGCACATGGGCCTAGGTGCTCCGTGGCATGCGGGATCTTCCCAGACCAGGGCTCGAACCCGTGTCCCCTGCATCGGCAGGCGGATTCTTAACCACTGCACCACCAGGGAAGCCCTTTAATTTAAAAAAATTATTTTTGATCTTTCCCTTTGTGTTCACCATGTGTTTAGTGTTCCTGACCTCTGTTCTGTTTTTCTGCTGCTAATGTGCTGTGAGTTTGGAATCTAGATAATCGAGTTTAGTGAGAGGCAGTAGGATAGAGTTGGACATTGGGAATCAGGAATATTTTTGCTGAATTTTAAGAATTAAGAATCATGTGGACATACAGGTATAGGAGGAACAAGTCATCTTCAAGGTACAAAAGATCAGACTAGTCTTAGAAACTTTGCCAAGGTGATACTTAATGAACAAGAAGGGTGTGGAATAGTCTTTTCAAATTTCTGAAGGAAAGAACATATGTTGCAGGCATTTTATAACCATTCGATTGTTCTTCAAGTATAAGGCGAGAGCCAGCCTAACCCAGAAGTACCAGAAAAATAACAGTACTGATGACACTATTTTAAAATAACTAAACAAAAATAACTTACATGAGAACAAAGTTCAGGCAACCAAGAGATGAATCAAAATAAAAACTCAAGAATGGAGAAGCCAAAGAAAAATGGTGTGTGTTGACTCCATTTAAGTAGAATTCTAACACTAGCAACTGTGGGAATTATAGTTCCAGACCAGAATACAAATGTTATAAACTTTTTAAAATCTTTGTCAAACATTAAAAATTTTCTTTCTGATGAATATAAATGTACAGAGAAATTTTTTAAATAGCTGAAACTATCATTTAGTATACCATAATTCAAAATATTAGAGACTTTGAAATTTAAAATGTTATTTCTTTGCAAAAACTTCACTAAGTTAGAACAGTGCTTGCCTTGCTTGCCTTCTTCTCATTGTATAACTCAAGATATGGACCATACATCTCTGCTATACCTTGTATAGAAGGTATAAAAATTTCAATATTTGGATCAGCTTCAAAAATTTTAGCCTTTGCCCTCTGTGTCATGAAATATCTCTGGGAATTCCTTTAATGGGGAGTTTTCTGCAGGCAATATTTCCTCTGCAATGTCTTTATCCTTTTATGTCACAACCAGTTTTTTCATCTACGTGGATAATTTGGCCTTCACTAAATTCCTCTGGCTGCATATCTAGATACTGTTTGAATGGCAGCAGTATCAACATTCCATGGTCAGCTGTTTCTTCTATAACCCCTTTTATGTTCAATTTGAATTTCACTTACAGTGTTATCACTTTTCATTTCTTTGTGAACTTTCATCCTCGTTGGTTAATTTCCTCCTTTGATTATTTATTTTTATAAATTGTCAAACTGTCATGTAGGATTATCACTAGGTGACAAGGAGGCACATAACTTCATGCTTGCTGTCTGTGAGCTAAACAATAGATACACAGTGATCAGTCACTAATTCCACTTTGAAAGGAGTTGTGTGATTGATCACTGATTATTTACATAGTGATCTGTGGATTGAAGAACAAGCATCAAAGTTTGCATTCTGTGCAATTGCTTAATAATACAGTGGCACCTGAGATTTGAACTATGTTTTCGAGAGTTTATTTAAGTAAATTGTGGATCTCAATTTTTAAGTGTATAATGAAAACATGCAAAGTGAAAACTGCCTATAATAATATAATTGATAAAAATCCTGAGTTGAATTGGGGAAAGGTAAGAGTATATTAATCCTATTATTCTTGTCAAGTAGTCAGTAAATATTGTCTAAAGTTGAAATATGTAAATACAGTGATTCTAGCTTCTAAATGTTTCTCATAGTCACATTTTATTAATTTTAGAAGAATCTTTTAGGGACACTCCCCTGGTGAAGAAAATACAAACTTCAGCAGGTTTTTCTTATTTCCCTCCTTTTCTGTTAAGACCCTCAACCAGTAGGTGGAGATATTCTAGTCCAGTTTCATTGAAGCAACTACCCAACTTAAAGAACCTACTTCACTGGCTTATGGCCATGCATGCAGGGCCAACAGCATCAAATCTCATACCCTTTGGGCATTAACATATTTCCCACTAAGGCCTGTCTTTTTATTCCTAATGCCCATGTTGTGGTCAGTGCAACTTCACCTTCTACACTCAGCTATTCAGTTTTAGTACTTGAACATTTCTTTCCTCATTCTCAAGCTCAGCTATGTATTAAAAAGAATTTTAAAAATTTATACAACATTTCACTGTGTGTAGTAGACAGGAGGGAGGATTCTTGCATGTGCTTCATTATCACCTAGACTAGAAATACTGTGTCATGATCATTCATTAAAAAAATCTATTCAATAGTATGCCAGACTATAAAGTGCCTATTAGTTGAATCACTCTGTTGTACACCTGAAACTGACATAATTTTGTACATCAACCTATTTCAATAAAAAAGCACCTATTAAGAAATATGTGAGACCTATATGAGGAAACTGAATTCATAAAAGAAGATCTGAATTAATACATTGATGTAGTATTCCTAGATTGGAAGATTTCATTGGTAAAGATATCAATTCTCCCCAATTTAATCTCTTCCAATTAAACTCTCAATGGAATTTTAAGGAAATTTTAAAGTTATCCAGAAGAGTAAACTTGAAAAAGTCATTAAGAAAATTTAGAAGAAAATAATTGAGGGGAGTGAACTGCTTAACCAAGTAGCAAGGCATGTTGCAAAGATAGAATGATTAAGATAATGGTTTTGAAGCAGGAAGTAGGTTTGTGGAACAAAGTAGAGGCTACACAACTGTGTGTTTGTGTAGACACTTTTGGACTAATAAGCTGTATTTCAAGCAATTAGGGAAAGGATGAATATTTTAAAAGGTGGTATGTAAGAAATTGGCTATTTGGGGGAACAAATACAGTTACATCCCTATTTCACATCATAAACAAGATTAGATTCCAGGTGGAGTAAAATATCTAGACATAATAAAAATAAAATTATAAGAGTACTGTTTTCAGAGACTCAAGATAGCCTTCTTAACCATACCTGAAATTTAGAAACTATGAAGAAAGAGACTAATAGATATAACTACATATATAAAGCTTAAAGTAAAAAATACCATAAACAAAGTTAAAAGCCAAATGAAAGACAGGAGAAAAATGCTTACTGTGTATAACAGTGTGTAAGGAGTCTCTTGGCTAATAAGACAACCAATAGAAAATGAACAAAGGGTATAAACAGACATTTCAAAAAAAGAAATAGCAATGGCTAATAGAAAAAGATATTTATCCTCATTAATAATGAAACTTGAGATACCATTTTTTATCCACGCTATTGGCAAAATGTAAACTATTGATCATCTCCTATGTTAGAGTATTGTAGGAGTGTAAATAGGTGTCTTCAGTTTGATAGTAGCTATCAAAAATTAAATATCCATACCTTCGACCCATTGGGTCTGGCTTTAGGGATTTAATCCGTAGGAATACAAGCATATGTACAAAAGACATGGGCATATAGCTGTTTATTGAAGCATTTTTTATACAGTGAAAAATTGAATTCAACCTGCACATTCATCAATAGAGGAATAAATAAATAAATTTTAGCATATTCATTCTTTGGAATAGAATATGAGGAGGAAGTACTATGAAGTAAGTGTATAGGCTCTGGGGTCAGGTTGCCAGGTTCTAATTCTGGATCCATCATTTACTAGTTGCATAACATAGGCTTACTTAACTTTTCTGGGCCTCAGTTTTCTCATCTATAAAATGGAAATAATTGAATCTGTTTCAGAGGGTTGTGTGATAAAGTATATAGAACAGTGCTTAGAACATAAGTACTCAATAATACTAACTAATATTAAATTATCACTTTGCAGTTATTAAAAAGAATAAAATACATCTGTAAAATTCCAGCATGGCAAACCCCGTAGTGATTTAAGTAAACAAATTTTAGGACAGTGTATGCATATGGCATGAGTACCTATTTGTAAATGAAATTTTTAAATGATATATGTGCATGTATTTCAGTGTGTGTGGATAAATCTGGAAGGATAAATGCCAATTGTAACAGTAATTATCTCTGGGGAGTGAGATTGGGTGGAGGGGAAACGGATTGTCAGATTTTCAAAGAAATATTTTCCTGTATTTTTTTTCCAAGCAGGTATTGTATTTATAGCTAAAAAGTTTTTTTTTTCTTTTAAGGTTCCATACACTGTAAGGATAGTAGAATTTTTGATTAACTTTTATTTTACTTAAAAAAAAAAAACCTGTGAAAAGTTGTGTTATCTAAATGATGGGTGCTTTCTCTTGTTTTCCTTAGTGACTCACTGAGATTTTCCTTGCAGGAACATGCGTACCCAGCTGATGAACTCATGCCTTTGACCTGCAGAGGTCGAGTTAGAGGCCAAGAGCCAAGTCGGGGTGATGTTGATGATGCCTTGGGAAAGTGAGTATTAACAAAGGGATGGCATGGCATCTGAGAGTTCCCAAGTCTTAAGACATCTCAGAGGCAGTGTACAGTTGTGTATCTGGGGATTGGTTAAATTTCAAAGACTGCTTTAAGTATTACATTAAGTTCCTTTATTCCTTTCTGTTATCTTTTGTAAAATATTAATCAGTTTACCTCTTAGATCAGTGAAAAGTTGAGTAGTTAAGATGGATGTAACTTTTAGAATGTATATAAAGTCATTGATGTGTTATAAGATGTTGATGCTTTAGTATTTTTATTTGCTTTTAAAAGAGCTAATGAATATTTCTGTTCATTTTGAAAGATATGTAGTTACGCTGAACATAAATGTGATGTTAAGGCTTTTCAGGTTCTTTCAGTGTTTTACAAGTTACACGGTACTGTAGATGCATGGAAGTACTAGTTAATGGAAGCTTCCAGTCAGTAGGATGTAGATATGTCTGCTTATACATTCATGGATAAGATATTCAGAATTCTAATGTATATCTTACTATACTTGTTTCTTAGATTTTCCCTGACACTGATTGATTCTTTGGACACTCTTGTGGTAGGTTTGATTCTTCTTGAATTATTTTATATATTTCTTAATATGTGCACACAAGTATTACGAATATAATCGTTACACAGTAAGTCTGAAATAGAAGCCTTCAGAATTTAAGATGATTTGATCTTTGCTTCTGAATAAATCTTTCACACTCTTGAATTGATAACGTCATGTGAATGTCAAGTGAAATTATGTAGAATCATGGAGATACTCAAATAATTTATAGGTATTGTCAGTTTATGTGATGGCCCCTTAATCAGGAAAGTTGTTTCCCTTTGGACAAGGAGGTTGATGATATTGGAAGAAAGTAATTCTAGAAAATGCCCTTGATATTCTTGTTCCAGAAAGGCGTGCCACAATCATACTAAAATTGTTTAATTAGAATTTTTATGTGTTATGTTCATTAAAAATTAAATTTTTTATCAGAAGTGATTTTTAGCACCAAGTGATCACTACTTGGCACTCCTTTTAAACCTCATGGGATACAAAATCATTTAAATTAATTCTAGTTGGGGACAGTTTGTGATGGCAGAGGGGAATGATTGAATTCCAGATGTCATGATTTCTAAAGGTAGTATCTTTCTAGTTCTTCACTCTCAGATCATTTATGGTATAAAAATTAGGCTTGTTTCAGGATTTTCCTTAAGGCATAGTTCTCAACTTTGAGTTAATGTCTGAAGTATTGATCAATATTTTTTTAAAAAGACAAAAAACCTTTGTGGTGGCAGAAATTTTTCAGAACCAGGGTTTTCTTCCCAGTATTGATTCTACATTCTTCTTTCACTGGGTGATTCTTTTTTCTTTTTCTTTTTTAACCAGAGACTGTCAACTATATCAGCACCTTGGAAATATTACCTGTGAAGTTTTAAAAAATATACTTCTCTCCCAAGTTACTCTGATTTAATTTTCCTGGAGTGGGACTGGGCATTATTATTTATTCCTCTAAAGCTTCTTCTTGTTTATAAAATTCAGCCATGGTTGAGAAGACCTTTTTTGTTGAGAAGACCGTGGTTGTTTAGACCTTTTTAGCTGTATCAGGGTTTTGAAAGTTGTGACTTCATTTTTCAGAGATTAAAGGAATGTGAACCATGTTATAATGGCTATGAGAATGAGAGAGAATATTGTGTACCTTATTTTTGGTTTAGTGGTCTTATTTTTGGTATAGTGTTCTGCTGTAATAGAAGAGAAAAAGATAAACAAGTATCCCAGGAGGCACAAATTACCACCCTGGGAGAAACTAAGTGGTGTTATTTATTTATAAGTATAGCTGGATGATGCACATCAGCTCGATCTTGATATGGTAGGGTGAGTGAGGAGCAGTAGCTGTGTATTAGGAAAGACCATAGGTGGACTTAAGTTTGTTTCTCATTCTGTCATCTTGGCTTTATCCTTATATACAGTAGGTTCTCCATCATCTCTCTGTAAGCTCTTATTGATTTTTATGAACATGGACCTCAGATATTCTCTGTATTTTTAAAATTTTTATCAGAAATGAAGGAGAAAATGTGGTTCTAGGCTGCCTAACTTTCCTATATTTAGAAACCTATTGGTCTCTAATTGAGCAGCCATTATTATAAAGGTTCTATTCTGCTTTGAAGTTATACCACTTCGACATTGGTTCTCAAAATATGATTCCAGCACCACCAGCAACAGCATCACTTGGCAGCTAGTTAGAAATGCAAATTGTAGGGCCTCATCCCGGACATTATTGAATCAGAAAGTCTGGGAGTACGGCCCAGCAGTCTGTTTTTTTAACAAGCTTCCAGATGATTCTAACGTATGCTAAACTTTGAGAACCACTGTGTAATAATGCAGTGCTTTTTAAACTTCAGTGTACCACAAGTCATCTGGGGATCTTACTGCTAAAATAAAATGCAGATTGTGATCCAGTAGACTGAAGATGGGGCCCAAGGACATGTGTTTCTAGTAAGTTGCCACTTGGTGGTGCTGTTGCTGCTGGTCCGTGGACCACACTTTCAGTAATGTTTGGTGTAACTTGAGTTCTAACTCCTCGTAGCCGGGAGTACCAAGAAGTGATCACCTAATATTGATATGTGACCTTGGCCAAATTATTTAGCTTCTCTGGGCCCCTGTTTTCACTTCAGAAGGACCTAGATTAGATATCTAAGATATCTATCAATAGATATCTATTTAAACAGAAGTAGTAGAAGAAATTAAAGTAGTTTGGAAGTTGTTTCCTACGTTTAGAAGGAAAGTTATCTTGTACATTTTATCAATACAACTATTAATATTTCTAATTTACTTTGTGATCTTTTTTTTAGATGTTGGGGGTAGGAGTTTATTAATTAATTAATTAATTTTTGCTGTGTTGGGTCTTCGTTTCTGTGCAAGAGCTTTCTCTAGTTGTGGCAAGCGGGGGCCACTCTTCATCGCGGTGCGCGGGCCTCTCACTATCGCGGCCTCTCTTGTTGCGGAGCACAGGCTCCAGACGCGCAGGCTCAGTAGTTGTGGCTCACGGGCCTAGTTGCTCCGCGACATGTGGGATCCTCCCAGACCAGGGCTCGAACCTGTGTCCCCTGCATCGGCAGGCATATTCTCAACCACTGTGCCACCAGGGAAGCCCCTGTGATCATTTTTTGATTTGTGGTTTGTTTATTTGAAAATCTTAGAGGACATATCACTTGGGACAGGATGCAACCTTATTGTTTTTATTTTGGTCATACCATAATATGTTAAGTAGAACTTCTCTTGTCATAGTTTGATCTTTCAATTTAAACTCTTGTTCATAATTCTAGCCATCTAGTTTCTATTGATTGTAATGAAGTCAAGCACTAAAACTTTAAATTTACCACTAAATTCAACATGGCCATGAAGTCTACAGAAAGAAAGATATTGAACAAATTAAAGATAATGAGTTCTTAACTTAGGATTGTAGACCCTCATGGTAATAATGGTAATAATAGTAATGATATCAAGCACTTAACTAAGTCAGGTGCTCTACTAAAAGTACTTTACATACATTACCTCATTTAGGAAAACAAACCTATGAGAGTAGGTGTTCCCTCTTTTTGTAGATGAAGGAATAGGCTCAGAGATAGAAGTAAGAACCACAATTCACATCAGGGCTTGGTCTTGACCCCAACATTGCACTGCCTCCTTAGTTAGGGGCTGCGGCATCCATGGGTGAAGACGGCAAGTGGTGTATGATTTAGGATCAGCTGAAGGATGTGCTTTCTTCTGAGACTAAGCAACTTTTTAAATGATGTTTGGTGAATAGGGCGGTTTTTGTTTTGTTTTGTTTTGACTTGGAAGCCAAATCCCAGTAGAGCTCACCTCTTGTAGCTCTAAGTCACGGGTCATACACACCAGCTAACAGTTCGGATGATGACTGTTTTAAAGTCCTAGTGATATTTCAGTGTGTCTGAAAAAAGAAGTGTGTCTAAATAAAGGTTCCTTGCAATATAAATAAGCATTTAATTTTTTTCAGTTTTCGATAGTATCACATTTTTGTAATAGGTTTAAGAGAAAAGTTTTTTGTATGTGTTACTTTTTAGAGTCTTAAGGTATTGCTATTAGCAGCTCATTTTGAGGGTATTTCTCTATGTCTTGGTCAAAAAGGACTTTGTTTTCAATAATTTTCTTCTCCTAGGTATTAAATAAAACTAAAGAATTTGAAGATGCGGTGAGAAAAGTTTTAAGAGATGTTAATTTAGATAATGATGTAGTTGTATCAGTCTTTGAAACAAACATCAGAGTTCTTGGGTAAGTATGTGAGACACTAAAGCTCTAACTTTAATAACAGAAAAGCCAAGGGTACACTCTTTATTTCTTGATGGTAATAAAGCAAGAAATTTCTTATGTTTAAAAGATAAAAGTTGGGGTATTATATAAACACAGAGGCTGTGGGATGACCCTGCATTATATGAGGCACAGAGAGCAACAGGCTTTGGGAATAGTTGTAGACTCAAATCAAAGGCAATCTTTGTTTGTTGTTAAAAAATGACTGACTATAGGTCGAATATTTGAGTATTAGCTACGTCGCAGGTTTTTCGCCAGATTATCTAGTTTACTAAGCTTAAGCAGCACCTCTTCAAGCCAAATGAAACTGAATTTATAGGATTACCTTTGAACTAAACAGTTTGAAATATTCTTGGAACACAGGAATTACAGGATTTATTAATTCACGTTTCAATATGTAGTTTTATATTTAATGGTTACTTTTGTGTTATTGTAACTCATTTCCTTTTTCAGACAAAGTGAATCTATTCTTCAGTTAAATTTAAGAAATAGCTTTGTAGTTTTTCACAGAGTGTATTAGTCTATTACATTTAATACAGAGTGGGGAGTTGTTTTTTTTTAATGTTATGCTAAGAGTCAGAGATTTCATGATACTATAATTAAATTTAAAATTTCTTAAAATCAAATCTGTTAAATTTGTTAAGATAAATGATTTCTAGGATTTTTTTTTTTTTTTTTTTGCGGTACACGGGCCTCTCACTGCTGTGGCCTCTCCTGTTGCGGAGCGCAGGCTCCGGACGCGCAGGCTCAGCGGCCATGGCTCACGGGCCCAGCCGCTCCGCGGCATGTGGGATCCCCCTGGACCGGGGCACAAACCCGCATCCCCTGCATCAGCAGGCGGACTCTCAACCACTGCGCCACCAGGGAAGCCCAGGATGTTTTTTATTTTAAGAAAATTTAAGGTATTTAAGAATGCCAAACACTTTACAACAAATAAAACATCTGATTTTTTTTTTTTTTTTTTAAAAATGGTTATTTAAAATGGTTTGCCACAAAATGAGTATCCAGAGTTAGGGAAAAAGTTAAGTTCTTCTGTGATCTTTGCTTATGTACTCTAAATTGTTGATAATAAGATACCCACATCTTTTTAGGTGATGATGTTTAAGTATCTGTACAATGTGGCTAATGTTTCACCTCTGTGATTTTAGGGGTCTTTTGGGTGGACACTCATTGGCCATCATGCTGAAAGAAAAAGGCGAGTACATGCAGTGGTACAATGATGAACTTCTCCAAATGGCAAAGCAATTGGGTTACAAACTTTTACCAGCTTTCAATACTACCAGTGGCCTTCCTTATCCAAGAGTAAGTAATTCTGAAAAATATGGCAGTCTTTGTATACTTCTTCACTATTGTAAAAAAATCAATTTTTGTGATCCAGCCATTGTTCCTCACCTGCTTGAGGCTGGAAAAAAAATTCTTCAAGCTATATAAGAAATTTATATTGACATTTCAGTTAGTTTGCATTTGAATGGTGTGAGAATTTAGATTAGTTAAAGCCTTTTATGTGTCATTGCATAACACAATAGATTATGCTGCGGAAGGAAGAAACAGATGCCAGACTGGAATTTGGGCACAGAATTATTTGTGCAGGAGATACGGTGGAAGCGTAAGAGTAGGTGTTAACTCTCCAGAGGAGAGGGTATAAAGAGAATATAGAACAGAGAGGAATGAGGAGGAAGTAGAGCAGTGAAAAGGAGATTGTTCGGAGACTGAGGAGGAGAACCACAAAGTAGTGTAAGGTATTATAAATTCCTAAAAAGAGAGTTTCAAAAGGAGATGTTCCAGCAAACATTAGGAGAATTAGGTGCAAACAGAGCCTTGAAGGATATAATGTGGCAGAATAAAGGGGGAAGAGGGATTCAAAGTAGGTGAAAGGATAGGACCATTCATTTTGAGATTTCCTCTATGTTGGTAGTTAAAGAGAGTTGGCAGCAGAGTCAGTTGAGGGAGTTTTGTTGTTTTCTCCCCAAGAAAATTGTATATTTAAGGCAGAGGGAAAGAAGCCATTGAGATGGAAAGAACGCTCTCCTGGTATATTTCATTCTTTATTAACACTATTACTCTTACCCTCTTATCCAGGCCAGACACCTCAGCCGTTACCAAGCTCTATTAATTTTTTTCTCTTCCTACTGCTGCTGTGCTTGTTGAAACTAATATAATTTTATTCCTAAGCTATTATAAATACCTATTTTACTCTTTTCTCTCTGGTTTTTGCTTCAGAGACTTAAAAAATTAATCTTACTAAAACATAACTTTTATCAAATTACACTACTCTCAGAATTTTACTGACTCTGCCTGTTGCACTGAATGTCCTTTAGCTTTCAGGTTTCTTTATGGTTTGGCAGTAGACTTTCTTTCTGAAGTTCTTTCATACCCCATACTCCAATGAAATGAATGTCCCATTTCAGCCAAAATAATCTATTTGTGTTCCCCAAAGCACCTAGGGATTTTTTGTTTTTGTTTTTGTTTTCATTTCCATGCCTTTTGGCTTGCTGTAGTAACTTCTCTACCAATATAAATAAGACTCATTTCCTCCATCAAGAAATCTCTGACTGGAGATCCAGCATGATATAGCGTGCTTTTCAAATGGGGAGGTCACAGCTCATTCGTTTACCCATTGATTTAGTGGATCGTGACCAACACCATTTTTTATTTTTTTTAAGAAACAGACTAGTATTAAATTTCTTATTTAAATTTCTAGTTTGTGATATTTTTAAACAGCTCTTCTTTGAATATCCTTATATACATCTTTTTAACTTATTTCTCCCTTAGGATAAATTACTAGAAGAGGAAATAATAAGTCATAAAACAGGGAGCGCTTTTTAAGGCTTTGTGTACTTACTGATCAGTTGCTCTCCAGAAAGGTTCTACTTTTATACTTCCTGTGTTGTGTAAAAGTGCATGTGTCCTACTGCTGCCCACACTGTATATTATCATTCTTTTGCCAATTTAAGGAGGAAAAAAATGGAAACATGTTCTAATTTGAAATTTCTTTGCTTGTGTGGTTTAAAATTTGAAATTTCTTTGCTTATTAGTGTGGTTTAAACTTGTTAATTGTTTTGTTTTCTTAGCATATTAAAATTGAAAGCAAAGTTATTTTAAACCATCTGATGTTTATTTAATTAAATTTACTTTTAGTAAATATATTTAGTTTTTGTTATAAATGGAGGCACTGAATTTTGAAGAATCTGGCATGTCTTCACTTTTGCCAAAACATGAGAAGCAGGCAAGAAATTGAAACAGAAGCTACTAAGAGCACTATAGTAAAACAAAGAAAATTGTATTATTTTCTTATCCTCTGAAGTATCAAGAAAAATTTTTTTTTATGAAACTCAATTTATCTTTTTTTATTTTTATTTTTTTTAACACCTTTATTGGGGTATAATTGCTTTACAATAGTGTGTTAGTTTCTGCTTTATAACAAAGTGAATCAGTTATACATATACATATGGTCCCATATCTCTTCCCTCTTGCATCTTCCTCCCTCCCACCTTCCCTATCCCACCCCTCCAGGTGGTCACAAAGCACCGAGCTGATATCCCTGTGCTATGCAGCTGCTTCCCACTAGCTATCTACCTTACATTTGGTAGTGTGTATATGTCCA